AAACTGTTCTTTTCTCTGCACTAACCTGCAAAGTTTTTCAAGCAACCTTTAAATAGCAGTTAGTCTGCCTCAGTTTGATTTGCAGCATGTTTCGTGATACGAAAAGCATAATGCCACATCCAGTATCTGATTTAAAAACATAAGGATTTCCATGCAAGCTTTAAATTTCCAGTTTATCAAATACCACCGAGAAGTCATTACCTTTAAATATAACCGCTCTTCTTCCTCTCCTGACCTCTTTCTTATCTTGCTCCATCTCTGAATGAATTTAGCGCTTTCTATTTTCTTCCTGTGAAATACAGCAGCTGGAGCTTTAGCTAGCAACACACTGTGAGACAAACAGCACGCAAACAGTTTGTGTGTTTGCTGAGCTGATAGAAATGCTATCTGTTCCGATAGTAATAACTTAAAAGTAGGGCTGTCAGCGTTAAAGCGTTAATGCCCTGTTAAAGCATTAATGCTGACAGCCCTACTTAAAAGTGGAAATAAATAAATAAATTATAAAGATCAATCAATTGGACCAGTATGGCAAAGCTGTAATGTTCCACTTGGGAAAATAAATCTGTTGCACATTTTTATTGGCCTTCAGACAGGCCTTCTGATTGCTACAGTGCCGAACAACACAGGCCAAAGGAAAAAAAACTGTTGTGAGGAAGGCAAGGGAAGAGCAGGGAGGAAAGGATAACTGGAAAACCATACTATGTTATGCCATGTTTTGATTTTCTTTAAAGGGTAGAAAACATGTTGGATCACACTACATTCAAATCTACCACAGAAATGTAAATTGCATGTTGTTCTTTACCACTGATATTAACTAAAATGACCAGTTTGCCTGCTGACCCTGAAACGTTTACACCTGCACAGGTGCATTGTCAAGCCCTGACTGCTGGCAGAACGCAAGTTCTGAGAAATTACCATTTCAGGTCCTCCATAAACCCATCATGGTGCCTCTTCAAAGTGATGTCTACAGCTCTACAGAAAAATTCTGCCAGTCACCCGAACCATGACAGTAGCCCCCCCGTCACGATGGGCTAGTATACCGTGGTGAAAGTTTGCGTGACTCAGTCCTGAGTGGAATGTCCTTGCCCGCCAGCCATACGTTTTGTCCTCCCGTGTAAACTGGAGCAATTGAACGGCGTTGATAAGCATACTGGTGTTGGCAGTTGACTGACCTGAGTAGTGCTTGCCTAGTCTGATCCCAAGCTCGTCGACAACGCTGTAGATGGTGTTGAATGGAAAGCTACTCAAGTTGCAGAGGATGTGAGTGAATTACGAGCGTATTCTGCCCAGTGCAGACAGGTGTACCATGCAAGGTCATGCAGCGGAGTATGGTTTCTAATTCTTGATTTAACCGTTCAGTCTGACCGTTTGTTTGGGGATGATAACCAGAACTAAGACAAGGTTTGGCTCTGAGAGCGGTGCAGAAAGCCTTCCAGGCTCATGAGGTGAACTGCAGGACGCGGTCGGAGACTATTTCTACAGGTAGTCCTCTGAAAATGAAAATGTCCTCTGAAAAACCAGAATTTGAGTAGTTTCAGTGGTAGTGGGAAGCTTATCTAAGGTGCCAAAGTGGGCGGCTTTGGAGGACCTGTCAATGATGGTGAGTATGTAGTAGTTTTTGTCAGCTGACAGGTGACGAGCATGATACGTGACCATGGCACAGGGAGCAGTTGTAAAAGCCTAGCTGGGTGTTAAGTGTTAGACTTGTTGCGTGTACATACTGGACAGGCAGCCACATACTCTCAGACATCCTTTTCCAGGGTGTCCCAATAGAAATGTCTTTTAATTAGGGAACTAGTCCTACCTCTTCCTGGGTGGCATGCAAACTTCGCCTTATGAATCCAGGACCTTAGAGCGAGCTGCAGCTGGAATGAATTGTCAGGTCCTGTGCCTGGGTCAGGCTCCATCTCCAAAATCCAATTGATTTCCTCCTCCACCTCCCACATGACCGCCCCCACCTTGCAGTTTGGCAGGAAGGATGGAAGGAGCCTCTTCCGGTTCCGTGCTGTGGGCAAACTGCAGAGAGAGCGCATCCGGTTTGATGTTACGGGAAACTGGTCGATATGAAATGGAAACATTGAAAGAGTTAAAGAATAAAGATGTGCCTGATGAGCATTTACCCTCTTGGCTGAGTGAAGATACATGAGATTCTTATGATCTATCCAAATTACAACGGGATGCTCAGCACCCTCCAGCAAGTGCCACCACTCCTCCAATGCAAGTTTCACAGCCAGGAGCTCCAAGCAGGATTCGAACCTGGCCCTCCTGGTCTAAAGGTAGCTATTTAGCTCACTGAGCCAACCTCTTTCTCAGCCAGGAGCCAGGAGCTCCCTGTCCCCCACATCATAATTTTGTTTTTGTGGGACAAGGGCAGCGAGAGAAAAAGGCACATGGTTTGAGCTTGGAGGGTGTTTTGTAAAAGCACTACTCCAACCCCAACATCAGAAGCATCAACTTCTATGATAAATGGTTAATGGACATCTGGGTGAATCAGGACTGGAGCCTTGGAAAATAGTTTTTGAGTTATGCAAAAGCGACTCCACTACCTGGTTCCCCAGAAAACGGCTCTGGCTCAGGGGAAGCAGCGTCCCGGAAACAGGGCGTAAACGAAAACATGGCTGAGCCTTGGGGAATAGGAGTGGCTCTCTCTAGAAGAGGTGGCGGTATAGGTGCAGCTGCAGCAGCTTCCAATGTGGGAGCTCCACTGGGCTGGGATTCTTGGATGGCCGTAAGAATCTTAGCCTGGCTGTCACTGAGGGATTTTCACTGAGCTAAAAGGTACTGGATTGATTGCTTTTGGCTACCAAGTATCGCACCATGCATCGTGACAGCCGTCCGGGTTGGATCTGCAGGGTCCATAGTCCATAGCCAGATCGTGTTGTCACAGCTATTTGCAAGCTTTGCAAGCTCCTTTGACTACGATGACCTGGATGACTGAGAACCTTCACAGTCACAGCTATTATTTCATACTATTTAATTATCAATAAATTTTTACAGAGAAATAGACAAAAGACAGTCTCCCTTCAGCGGAAGAATAAAATGATATGGTTTGAAAATGCCATAAATAAACCTAGGTGCAACTGGAGAGACTATTGTTGGCATTGCTGTGATTCTTATACCTGGTGCACTAATTTGTTGAGAAAACGTTTACTCTTATTCAAACTGTTTTTGCGCCTTCTCTCAGTTTAGCACTAGGTTTATGAACTTGCTAGCTACTAGATAAGAGCCAAGGCTAAACTTTTCCGGAAGGTTTAGCCGTTAGGGGGCGGGGCTTTTTTCAGTCCTTGTGAACTTTTGTAACATATGAACTGTATATTCTCTACCCCTGTATTTATTCTAATGGTTTGTGGCAGTTTTTGAACATCAGTGGCATCTGTTAATGCCAAATCTAGGCAAGGGGTTGGAGGTGTGGTGTGCTCAAAATATAGCTATTCCCCCCCCCCCCAAATAATTCATTTTTGGGGGGGCAGAAAGGGGAAAATAAGAATTTATCAGGGTTGGCTGAAGGAGAACCCAAATGCTGGACTTTTAGAATGGAGAAAGCGAGTTTATTTACACAGAAAACAGTGCCAACAGTCCACAGTGTGTGCTTTCCCAATTCCCCGTGCCGTGATTCCTCTCCGTGATGCGTGGTTGTGCTTTGTCCTCCTCGATGCCTGTGTTCAACTGTGTACTGCTCCCTCCACACGTTTCCGTAATCACCCTGGAAACAAGAGATGCCACAATGAGTACTGCCCCATCCACTGGCCGACTAAACACGTTAACCATTCCAACAAGAAAGTATTGAAAACCCGAGCTCCGCACTAACTGTATTTCTGGTTTAACGATCCCGTGCCGACTGCTGCTCCACTGCTCTCTTAAGTAGAGCCCCTTGATTAGCAGATCAGCAACAGGTGAGTTATTATCACAGGTGTGGCTGGCTCCAAGGCAGGGACTCTCCAGACCTGGTGGGGCAGCAAAACTGACACAACAACACACAGGGAAACGAGGAACGAGGAGCAGATCACACCACAACCATAAATGATTAAGAAAGACGAATAAAACTCATAATATTCATTAAACTCAAAAAATAACACATGATCCCCAGGTCACAGACCCAGGCCCATGACAGAATTAATTGTTTTACTATGTGCACAAATTATAATCGTGCATTTTATCATTACTTCTATGAAATTATGGAAGCATTATGGAAGCTGGCAGCTTGGTGCTACTTGCTGTTAGAGAGGCTGGATGTTTGGATGGTTAGAGGTCAATCAACCCTGAATTAGACAAGTGGAAGAACATGGATGGCATCTTATTTTTATGTACTGGACATTTTAATAATAAGTTCCACTTTCTTTCCTAAGAGGGTCCTCTACACTTCTATACAAATCTAATATATTCATATGTATTATTCCTTTCAACTTAATAATTTGCATTTTGTATAAGTCTTTCCAGTTCATTAAAGACTTGCTAATGTTTGTTTTAATCAGCTAGTTGTTATTAAATAGAGACAGGCAGTTCTGCATTTTGCAGCTGTTTCCTGCTTATTACACAGAAACTACCAGAGATATTTCCAGGTAATAGTCACACTTCTTAATAGGTTATTAATTTGTTATTAAATGGAAACAGGCAGTTTTACATTTTGCTGCTCGATTTTCTGCTTATTACAATTTAGCAGGACTTGAAATGTTTGTCAGTGGGTAAAAAAAATAGTATTATGCACTCAGAAAACATGTTTGAAACATGTTTGAAACATGTTTGTCCTACAGCAGCCACAGTAGGCCACATGTAGTGTCCAATACACTTATATGATACAGGTTATTAATCATAAGGTCCACCTGTTTTTTAATCTTAAGAAATGAAGCTTCAGAGATGTAAAGTGTGTCTTCCTCTTGTGGTGTATGAAAATAACACTTACTGCACCTTTCTGTAATTACAGGTGTGAAGAAATCAAACTTCTGTGTATATATTTTATTTCTGTCAAACAATTTGAACAAAAACATGACAAAAAGGCAAACGATACATGATAAAAAACAAATACCTTAATAGAATCTAAAATATTCTTTTTGTGAGAGAAAAAACTAGAAGTGCCAAGAATTTTGTTGCATAAGACATGATGTTTCACAGAAATGTTGCAGAATGAGTAACGGTTCCACATTTGAAACCTCTAACAATTCTTTAAAACATATTTGCTTATCACCGAACTTAACCAGAAAAAAATCTTAGTAGCTCATGAAAAGTGAAGGCAGGGTATTTGTACCCACAGACCTTTTTTTGCTCATATAAATCAAGTCAAATCTAATGGTTCATATCCAAGCCAAGGCCAGCAGAATTTACTTATTCTTTTGTGAAACTTCAACTGTGATGGAAATTGTTATATTACACCAGTCCTGTCTGTGTATTAGAGTCAGTACACAATCATATTGTTGTCATCTCTTTGCCATTACTGGTGCTCTTGGTGTCCATATGGGTGATGCTGATCTTGGTAGTCGGGTCCTCGCTGATGAACTGGAGGATGTTACGCAGTGAGCGGTTCATGCTGTCTTTGAAGCTTTGACCCAGACACACATAGAGCAGAGGGTTGAGGCAGCTGTTGAAGTAAGCCAGGCAGAGCACTATAACGTGTGCCAAGTGAAGTTTGGGGCTCGCAGGGGAAGCCCGAGGGGTGGTCAGTATGAGGAAATCCACGATGTGCAGAGGTATCCAGCACAAGAAGAAGCTCAGCACCACAGCGATGATGACCCTCAGGGTTTTCTTGGACCGGGTCCGACCTCGTGTCATTCTCCTCTGTGTCTTGTTGAAAACCACCAAGTGACAAACTAGAATAACCAGGAAAGGAATAATGAATCCAATCAGGAAGCGAAAAGCAGAGATAGGCCAGGCACTGTCTACAGTGTACTCCATCCTACACTCTCTCTTCTCGTCACCTGCCACAATCTGCTTGGCGTACACAAACTGTGGGATACTGCCTATCAGGGCCAGGACCCACACAGCAACACATCCATAAGCACCCTGTTTGGGTCGCCTGTGGTTCTGACACCAGATGGGTCTAATGACCAGCAACAAACGATCCACGCTGATCACAACCAGCTGCAGGATGCTGCAGTACATCACCAGGTAAAACAGGCCTCTGATGAGCATGCAGGCCAGCGGACCGAAGTGCCAGTGATCGTCGTGGACCAGAGGGACCATAAGCAAGGGGATGGAGAGGCAGCACAGAAGATCAGCCAGAGCGAGGTTGAGGAACCAGAGGGAGGTGACAGAGCGGGACATGCAGAACCCCGTCACCCACACCACCACAGCATTTCCAGGCACACCCAGCAGGACCACAAGGCTGTACATGACCAGAGCCACTATCTGGATCGGCTGAATCTCAGGAGTCACAGACTCAATAATGTCAGGAAATGTGTTATTATCATCAGGAAATGTGTAATTATCATCACTGTAATCCATGATTCCTTACAACTGTGAAGTATAGGGTATAGATTAGTGTCGTGCATAAAATTAACATTAGAATGAGAGAATGATTCATTCAACAATATCTGTGACAAATGTTTCGTCGAAAAGATTTTCATGATTCACTAAAATAATACAGTTCAATCCAGAAAAGCTAATGTTTGTTTTTTAAATTCAAACTAATACTTTAGTATTAACTCACCAACTGTTCAGCCTCTGTTTGTGTTGCTCTGTCACCACTGAGAGGAAGTTGTAGAGCTGGTCTGCTTCTGTGCTTTATACTCTCACCCCACCCCGTGCAAACACAGTTGCACAAGATTCCTGCTAAAAGTACAAGTCCTCTGCATGTGAGTGTACATTTGATGACTGCAATCAAAAAAATTGGTTAATGTAAAAATGCCGTTTTTATGTCAAAATTTAGGTGTAACTTCACAGGAAATAATTAAATCATAGTTCATACACTGAGAAAAAAAACAAAACAAATGGAAGCTGACCTCGACTACTTTGTCGTGCTTGCTTTATTCACCAGTTTACTGGTAGTGCTACAAATTATTTTTCCCTTATTTCAGTGCTCACTATAAAATAAAAGTCTATTGATATGTCAGGATCGGTAATTTTAAAAATAATTACTTCAAATGTCTATCTTGTCAAAATAAAAGTCTTAATAATTGTGTTTAAAGTATGAATACTAAATGTCATGGAGTAGCCCCGTGACGTCTAATCACACAACACAGCATGCTGGTACTGTAGCCTTGCCACACGTGAAATTCTAGGAAATTAAAAGTTTTAGAGTTTTAAAATATAAATCTCAGTTGTACTCCCAATTGCAATTGGTCGGGGGTTTTTTTAGACCTTTAAGCCTAGTGTTATAGTCATTAGGGGGATTTAGTCAATGTGCTATAAAGGAGCAAATAAAGTTTTTGAGATGTTTGCAGCATGATTTCATTGTATGTGGTTTCAGATAGCTAGATATGTTTCCTACTTTTACCTAACACCTGTCTTTTGATAATGGATTAAGCAATGTTATAAAATAATTTAGTATTTAATTGTGTTTTTTTTTGGATTATGTGGCAGGAGGTTGTGTATCATTGTGTATCAGGCCATGGTGCTAAGGAGGCCACAGTGGTTGTACTCCCAGGACCTCCAGCTGTAATGAGTCACAGCCTGGTCCAGAATGGCTTCCTCAGTCAGTGTATTTAGTTTTGCATTGGTGTATTGTAGTGCCAATAACACTGAACTGTTCAACTGTGTGAAGGCCTTTTTATTTTCTGCAGTAATTAATCATTTTGCAAAAACACTCAAAAATGATTTCCTGTTTCAACGGGACAAAAGACTTTATTGTCAAACTTGAAACAATAATTTTACAGTAACAGATCATCTTTATCATATATACATATTATTCACAAATTAGCCTACTCACAACCTATAGTACAGTAAAAGAACTAGAGTTTCAGCTGTGGTAGTAGAAAACAAGTAGAGCTCCCTTTGTGTTGATCACCATGCATCACATTTCTGCAACCTTGTTGAAAATGCTGATATTACACAACAGCAGTGAGCATCTGTCACTCCCATGATGTAGCTGCCTCATAGACGAGTTTAAATCGAACAATATCATGCCTGAATTTTAACGCAAAGTAGGTTTTTAAAAATGTGATTCTCCAAACATTCAAGACATATCAGAGCAGAACTGCATGTGTTTCCAGAGAACAGCCAACTCAGTTTACAGTACTGTAACACATACTACATACTAAAGGTATGACTAGGTAAATATCCTCAAGAAGACTGACTGTGGGACAGAAAAATGAATTAAAGAGACAGAGAAACACATTTGCATAAACATAAATACGTGTGAGGAAAATTGAGTGGCAGGATTTCCTGTTTTTAACAAAATCAGGAAATGATAAAGAAGATCAAGCACAGAGTCAGCAAAATGTTCTCTAGAAATTCTAAAAATTGCTGACTTTGGAAGAACATGGGTTTGCTTCCCGTTGCACACGCAGTCTTGTCATAGTTCACCTCTTATTGTGCGCATTGGTATAAAGACGAACATTAAAGTCCCAGCTGGCATGGAGTTGTTACCATGTAAAACACATTATCAGTACAGTATTTGTTTAATTTTGTCATAGTTGCTGTCATAAGTACATATTGCGATGCTTCCTCGCTGGTTTCTCACAGACGGTGAGTCCTCAGAGGTAAGCTCAGTTGAAGGCTGGAGCACTGCTGGGTGGAAGTGTAGGAGTGTCATCTCTGAATGCATCCGACTGAAGGTCTGCAGAAAAAATAGGGTGAGTTTGAAAATTAAATTTCAGTGTAGAATACTTTCACCAAACAAGTTATTTTTTCATACCGCTCTGGTGCCTTAAACATGATGAAACTTTTTTCCTACTCTTTCTTTTTATAAATTTAATGAATGCGTATTTTCCAAAATAAAAACCAGCAACAAGCGCTTCTTAATTCAGTTCAATTAAATTTTATTTATACAGCGCCAAATCACAACAACAGTCGCCTCAAGGTAGACCCTACAATAGTACATACAGATAGAAACCCAACAATCATATGACCCCTTAAGAGCAAGCACTTTGGCAACAGTGGGAAGGAAAAACTCTTTTAACAGGAAGAAACCTCCAGCAGAACCAGGCTGAGGGGGGTGGCCATCGGCCGTGACCAGTTGGGATTAGGGGAGGAAGACAGGACAAAACACATGCTGTGGAAGCGAGTGGGAGATTAATAACAAGTAGTGATTCAATGCACATATTAACACATAGTGAGTGAGAAAGGACATATCCTGGTCAAAAAAGACTCCAAGATTCCTCACAGTGTCACAGGAAGTCAAGGTAATGCCATCCAGAGTATGTATCTGGTTAAATACCATATTCCTAGGACTTTGTACAAGTACAATAACCTCAGTTTTATCTGAATTTAGAAGCAGAAAGTTAGAGGTCATCCAGGTTCTTATATATTTAAGGCATTCCTGCACTTTGACTAATTGGTGTGCGTTATATGATTCAAACCACTGCAGTGCAGTATCTGTAATACCTTCAGGTACTGCACTGCAGTGGGTACTGCACATACCTTATCATTAGCTTAAATGTCTTCTAGGTAGCCGAAAAGTAAAGCAAAACATATTAAAACATTTCAAATTATATTCCAAATAAACAAGCATGGGCTTGTTAATCCTTTACATTAACTATATAATACATACTACTGCATTTCATTAACAGCTTCGACACTGGCAAAGACTCACACACCTTGTAGTCTGTATTGTGTATTTAAAAACCTTCTCTCCTTTGTCTTTTTCTGTGATTCAGACGCTTTCCCCAGTCCTTAATTTTGTGTCCAAAGTTTAAACCGTTTAAACAGTTGATTGTTTTATGTTTTATGGGACAATTCTCCATAACTTTACCTCCATCTGTAACTCTGCATCAATTATATGTAGCAGAAACCTCTACTCTTCTCCATGTTTCCTAATAGTAATGTCCCACAGGCTGTGAAGTAAACCACAGCAGCAGGTCACCAAAATGATGTTGACGATTTTGTTTGCCAGGCAAATCCACCTTGTTTGGATTTTTGTGTATGCACTCCCTGACAGAAATAGTTTAATACTAATACCATTTTGTACCTACATGTTAGGTTACATCTTTGAGTATGTTAGTGGCAGAGGGATGGTGGTTTTTCAGTCTGAATCATCAGGCTTTACTTCCTGATTTGGAATGCAACGGGAAAAGGATGAGATGGATGACTTTGTAGGTTGCCAATCCAACTGAAAGTTAGAAATGGTACTAGTAGCTTTGGTTGTAGCTCCAGCTAGTACATCCACTTTTACACTTTACACAGGATGGTCTTGTTTGAATCATCACTGCGTGTCTGGTATTTCGTTGTGAAGCACTTTGTGATGTTTATCTCAAAAACTGCTATAAAAAGGAAATTATACTGTCATACAAATACAGACATTGACTTGAGAAATGAGAAACCTTCTGTTTACCAATGTATCTAAAACTTATCAAAACTTTCTGTCACCTGACTGCCTAATAAACTGATCCCGTAAGCTTAATTTCTATATAGGAATTAATAAAACTAAAGTGATTAAAAATAAGCGGTACCACAGTGAGTAAAGGGGCAGCAAAAGAAATTTCATGTTTATGGTTTCACATGGATATGTTTTCTTTTTTTTCCAATTTGTAATAAAACAACATTTGAATATATACGACTACCTTATGTGCAACTCACCAATGAGTGTCAAGCCTTGCTGCTGATTCAGTATAACCGATGTCTCTTCTTCCTCCTCCTCTTCTCCCCAATCTGCAATGTTGGCCGGGGGGATGCACTGCTCCAAGAACAGGTCCTCCTCATCTTCCTCCATGTCCATGTTCTCTGGAGGCCAGCGCAGCTCTCCACTCTCCACCTCGCTCACCTCAGTTGGTTCCACAACAATAGAGGGTAGACGTTCCTTCTCGTGCTCGTGGCCCAGACAGTTCAGAGAGGTCTCGGGGTCCAGGACAACCTCAACAGGGTCAGGAAAGATCTGGGGGAAGAACTTGATTGTGTCATGAGCAGTATATTGAATTAAAACTCTGTAGAAGCCTGTAAATAAACTTAATTAGGAATTCTACAAATTGTTTTATGTTTTTCCTTATCTATCCCAGAATCACACACACATGCACACACACACCTACGCAATATCGGGGCCTTGGATTTTGTGTACTTACTACTATTCGGGTTTTTAATCCTTGTTTGTGTCTGCATTTGAGTCTCTTCAGCTAAGCATTTCAAGACATTTTAAAGTATCAAAAGTATCAACTGTAACACAGAACTCCAATCATAACTAGAAAAATTTGCATTTCCTGCGAAAATGCTGTGTGGATGCTTTAACGCTGAAGATTTCTGCTGAAAAAGTTGAAAAAAAATATTGCCCTGAGCAGGATTCGAACCTGGCCCTTCTGGTCTCAAGGCAGCAACTCATCTCACTGAGCCATACTCATTCTTACAAAGAAGAGGTGGAGAGACTGTCAATTCTGCTGAAATGAGCAGAAGCTGCTGAGAATTGTGCTGATAAGAGGTGAAAAGGCTGAAAATTTTGCAGAAAAGAGGTGAATCAGCAGAATTTCTGCTGAAAAGAGGTAAAGAAGCAAAAAGATGCGCTGAAAAGAGATGAATCAGCAGAATTTCTGCTCAAAAGAGTTTTTTTCTGAAAACAGCTGAGATTTGTGCTAATAAGAGGTGAAAAGGCTGAAATTTTTGCAGAAGAGGTGAATAAGCAGAATTTGGGCAGAAAAGAGGTGAAAATTCTGAAAATTCTGCTGAAAAGAGTTCAATCAGCATAATTTCTGCTGAAAAGAGTTCAGTCAGCAGAATTCTGCTGAAAAGAGGTTTTTGCTGAAAAAAGCTGAAAAAGCTGCTATTTGTGCTGAAAAGTGGTGAAAAAACTGAAAATTCTGCTGAAAAGGGCTGAAAAAGCTGAAATTGGTGTTGGAAAGAGTTAAAAAAGTTTAACTGTTAACTGAAACAAATGTTGCCATAAGCGGGATTTGAACCCGGGCCTCCCAGTCTGAGAACGGATGCTCATCTCACTGAGCTAAAACACAGGTCAACCCGGCAAGGAAAATCAGTGAGGCCACTGATAATATGGCAGAAATGGGCAAAAAATATTGCAAAAAAAATTCAATATCTCAAAAAGTATAGAAGTTATGAGCACCAAAAGTCATAGCCGGCATTAGCAGAAAGAGCAGAATTTTCTGCTAATTTTCTGCTAATGTTATTGTTGTGTGGATGCCTTTTCAGGCATCCACACAACTATAACTCAATCAGACTTAGCTGCTATGCTAAAAATATTTGACAGAGATCTGTCGCAGTATGATTCTAGGGTATTATGTTACCTGAATTGGCAGTCTTTGGTCTTTACTCTGCATGTCTTCACATTCTGGATTCTGACCACTCATCTCCTCCATACCTCTGCAGGTGAAACAAATTTATATCAATCCTAGAAGAGGAATTAAAAAAAAAAAAAAGCATGCACCACATTTAGCATGGACTAAAAAATTCTGTCTAATACTGCAAAAGCACATGAGCGTGTGCATGTTTACTTTAGAAGAGTCCAGAACCCCGTATGTAATGTAAAGTGCTCAAAGGAAATTCATGATGCTGCTGACACAGCTGTGCAGCCCCCACTGCTGCGTGCCAATCGAACTACAAATCGTGTCATTTGGTTTTCCATGAAACAGCATCATTGCCGCTTGTGTCATTGCTGAATTACACTAGGATCACATTATCCAACATGCCCGGCTTTTCATTCGTCAGAGATTTCCTGCCCTACATCATGCTGGCTAAAGCTGGTCCGACCATGCACAAATATGTGCATCTCCTAATACATGCAAGCACTCTCTAGATTAGTGCAGACCTCAAATGGGGTTTGATACCAAAATGGATTATGTAGTTTGGCGATCATATTTTATTTTCTGACAGGAAGCCAAGTATCCTGTTTTGGCTTGCGTCCCTCACACCCCCAATCTGCCTCAGTTATCAGTAAAGTTTTTGTTACATAAAAAAAAATGTTTACATGACCGTCATCAGACGTCTAGCCGCCAGCAGCTTTGATGAAGCCACTTGTTTCAGTTACATGGATAAGTCTGTGTCCGTAGCCAACTTTAGTCTGTTTACGTTGTCCAGAAAAGCAGACAAAAGGGATTAAGAAGGGCTGAGGATCCATCTGAATCCTCTTTTTATCCCTCTTCCTTGCTTCCTTGTCTCTATTTCTCAGTATGTCTCAGCGTGTGTCCTCTCTCCATAAGTACCAGTCACGGTTTGTTGCCTGGTGTAATGACACAGTCTGCTCAGTCTCGCTTACTGTTTAATGAAATTTCCACTGAAAGACAGATTTAATCTACTTTTTGGAATTTGCAGTCACATGTCTCATCAAACTAAAGAGGCAAATCTAATTATTTTTACATAGAAGCCGAGAAGATGAACGGGACCTTTTAGCCTCTTCCTGAGATACGCAGCACTCAGACCCCAGTTCTTCACTCTTGCATCAAGTCAAAGCACAAAAGAGAGCATAAACAAGCCAATGCAAATGTCTGCTCGGAAGCTTTCAAAGGCATTTCCAGCCAAAATTAAAGTGCATGAGGATCAGTGCTTTGGATCAAGAGCATTAAGGATGGTCTGAGAATATGTAAAAAATATTTGAAATCCAAAAATAATTTGTTTTCTCATATTTTCGTGTGTAGCCTGAGACTTCCATCAGTTTGTTTCCCTCTTCCTCCCTCTCTCTCTCTCTCTCTCTCTCAAATTGAATAGTTTTTTTAATAGCTGACTTCAGTCGATTTGTGATTTTCCTATTGACATGCTCAAAGTTACATATTGCATGACACGACAACTGAAGAAACGCTAAGCCAGTTTGCACAACTGGCAAAATGAGGACATCGTGTTCTTCCCCAAATAGGATCAGCTTTGGGAGTACTCTATCATTTTTTTTGACCCACTTGTGAATGTGCGCGGCCCTACAATTCAATTTCTGATATTGTGCTGTTGACAATTGTGCCACACTAAGCTGTTTGTGTGCCACCTGGGGTTGGAAACTATTATGATGAATGAGCTTAACCCCCATGTAATCCCTCTCATGTACACTCGCTCTAAACACCTGCATGTTTTAGCACGGTCAACAATCGGGCTTTGTGTGCCTTGTGCGCTGCATTTGGCTGTTGATGCAAAAGTATGCTTTATCACTAGCAGACATTTAGGCTTCTTTTATGTGCACAGGCCAGATGATTAGTTTTAAAATATGCATCTAATATTACTCAAGTGTTAGTGTTAAACCAAGCCTGAAGTTTACACCTAAAGGCGAAGATCTGTGTCACCAGAAAGAGGAAGCTAAAGGCGCTAAAGAGCCGCACCACCGCAAAATGTTTGATCATTAAAACGATAAAGTTTTATCTCATTTCCTGTTTCTCTCACATTTTCCTGTAGATGTTTCATTTTTCTAACTTCACACATTTAATTTTTTTTTCAGGTCAGAGGCCACATAACTGGTTCACAATCTGGCCACAGCAGTTACACTATAAGGTGCTGCGGTTGTGCAATAAATGAAAACGTACTGATGAAAACATGAGGAAAGATTGCAGCAAACTTTAAAACGTTCCTATTTTATTGTTGCTATTTTTTATACTTCCCCAGCATCACTACACTTAGATGTTTCTGTAGTTGAAAATGTGAGATGGGAGGTATGAAATGGCTCATGGCCTCTGTTTGCTCTTGACCTTTCAAGACCACAAAAACATTCAAAACACGCAAAAAGTAAGAAAAAAAAAAGGAGAAAAGCGTTTTCACTTTTTACAAACATACAATAAATAAGACTGGATCCTGTGAAATCTCCAACATGTACAATATATGCCAGTTAAACCTTTTATAGGTCAGGCCAACATCTAGTTTTGTCATTTCTAATTAATTTTTTATTTTTATCTAATTTTGACTTTTTGTTTTTGTGGATCAGTTTTGTTGTATTTTGTTTCCAGAGGGGATTTTCTTCTTTCAGTTTAGTTTATATTCTTTGAATTTGTTTATTTTAAGTGTATTATTTGTTAGTTTCATTGTCAGTTTTAGCTTTTCTAATTATTATTGTATGGTGGGAATATCTCAGAGGCAACATTTAGGAAAAACAATAAAAACAAAACTTGAAACATTTTTATTTTATTTTTGTTAGTTTTCCCGAGTTCACAAAATAGTTTCAATTTTGTTTCAGTCTAATTCATATTTTTAAAGATGTCGAATACTTTGTCACAATTTTTGTCTATGTTAATCTGGGTTTATTGCTTAACCTCCAGAAACACTATTGTGTAAAGCTAGTTATTAATGGTCAGTGGACCATGTGTTACGATTGATTCACTGTTTCCATATTTGTGACTTGGAGGAAGTTTTTAAAGTTCACAGGGTTCATGGATCCATCTGCTATCACAGCTGCCCACAAGGACCAAAAAGCTTCAGAAAAAGTTGCTGAGGTGACCTAAGGGTGGAATGAGTTTGTCATCAAGAGTTGGGTCTTATTTCTGATAATGGCACAATCTGCTGCTTGACTGTACATGACTGTATCTTCCTGACACTTCTGCTGAGTTACTTTCAGAAGATGCACAGTGACGATAAGATCTTAAAGTGGAACCTGAGGGGGACTTGCAGCAGTTTTCCATTTAATTGTTATCCAAGATTAAAATGCACACAGTCACACGACCACAAGGTTCATCACCTCTTACCCATCAGTTGCTGTCAGGCATATGTCCTCTCCATCTTGGCACAGTGTCACAGTGGTGAAGCTCGGCTCATCCGCTGGTGATACGAGAGGGGTTGCAGGGGGAGGTGAACAACTCCCACAGCAGTCCCCCCCTGCAGGACCCTCAATGAGGTTTTCAGCCTCCAGGGCGAAACCTGGATGGGGAGGGCTCCAAACTCTCAGGGATCTCAGGTGTTTAGCAGATGGTGAAGGAGGTGGCTCGACTATTCAGGCAGGAGAGCACCCGTGTCTCTCTTCAGTGCTGAGTTCGCTTGTCCAAAGCGTACACGCTCTCCGCCGTCTCCCGTATCCGACTTCCTTCCTCATGTCTCTGTCATTATCCCTCCCTGTCCCACCCCGCTGCCAGGCTTTGGAGAAGAGCAGGATTAACGTCTCTTTTGATTACGGAGGCTGCATGGGTGACGTCAGGCAGGCTTGACAGTCCCCTCTGATGAGTTGGCACACTGGGTCGCTGGTGCATCTGGACAGAAACATACAAAGGGCACACAGATGGCCTGTGGTCGTGCTGTTGGCGGATGTTTAAATCAACTTGCCATGGCCACAACTGCACATGAGACGGACATGCATTTGCATGTTTTATTATGAAATCCTTTCTATCCCTCCCATTCTGTCTGTTTCCCCATCATGACTCTGTGTGTGTCGTTGCTCCATCAGTGGATTTAGATTTGGACGATTCATGGAATTAGCCCAGGGATCAAGGGCTCGGGGGTGGGAAGGGGATACAGTGTATATATATATATAACAGGCAGCAAGTATTGCAAAACAGGCAGCACACTAGTAACATTAGTGTTTAATCCCCTTTGCAGCCTAAGTCAATAGGATAGATATGGGACGAGGAAGGAAAGGAGCCTGCGCAACATGAAAGGCATCCTTCTTCTCTAGAACCTGGATGAATTTTTAATTTAAGAAATCAGGGAACTCCACCCGTGATGTATCATCTGAGACTCCTCCGTAATCAGGACAGTGCTTCCCCTATTAACTCGAGTGTCAGTTATACCGTCTCCAACTCAGATTCATTTGTTTTAAAAATGAACACACCATGCTTTTCTTTATTTTATATCATATGTCTTTTGCAGTGGTGGGTGCTCATATTGAACATGGCCAAGCTGGTTACAGCTAATGAAGTCAGCACTTGGCAAACATACACGAGCCAAAACTTAAGCTTAAGACTGCTCTAAACACTCACTTTTCTTTCTTTTTCTTTGGCTCTGTATGTCAAAGTGAAGGGACATCTTTAATATAATGGTCTCAAACTCATAGCATAGGAGCGTTTGCTTGCTTGCTTGCTTGCTTGCTTTGCTTAAATGTAAATCAGTTCTCTTTCCGAGCCTTAAAAAAAGATACAGTACTTTATCATTTCCAAGTCTGCTGTCAATTTGAATTAGGGTCTCATTGCTATGCTTGCAACAAAATGCACACAGATATTAAAATAATTTGATTAGGTTGTGCAAAATAAAATGTCTAAACGTTTTATGTGTTTTATATTTGCGCAACTATATTTTTTTAAATGGAACATTTATTGAATCTTCTGACAATTTAAAAGTCCTATTTGCTACATCCGGCATTTTTTAAGCAATTTATAGCTTAAAATGTATTATGCAATTTATCTGTGCTTACAGGGGGAAAAGGTTACACTGATTATGTAAAAGTCTAAAAAACACATTTAAAAACTTTTTAAAAAACTGTATGTATCAAATATGTTACACGAGGCAATAATGGGTTAATAACATTGTAATAATAGCTCTGTTTTCTTCAAGTGTCCAACAAGACATGGCAGTGCTAATTGGCTGCGCACAATATCAGGGCCATCTGTGTGCCTGACGATAATGACTGACTTAACCAAGGTTAATTCGGATTAGTGACATTAGTGTCAAAATGTCAATTAGATTTTGACTGGGTTTGTCTTTATATTACACGGAGCTAGTACCACACAGATGAGGACCAAAATAACATGAAGACCAGTCATTTAAGCCAATGCAACATGAATCTTGAAGGTTTGAATAGGATTGGTTATGAACAATATGAAGTTTGGGTTTTCTGTGTTTTTATGATGACTGGTCTGTGTGAAAGCTGTTCTTACCACAGGCTGTTTAAAGAGATAGATGTAGTGACTATGAGTTTACGCACTCAATTTGTGGGTTGCTATTTAAAAACTTCGAGTCTAGCATCATTGTCGTCAACGTTTTGTCATTGCTTTGCTTTGTTTCTTAGACACTAGTTACCAAATTTGGAGGAGAGGGTGGAATTGCTTGGTGACAACACACACTTGCACAATACAAAACAAAAACCTTAGAGCAATTCTTTTTTTTCTTTTTTTAGTTCAGTTCAACTTTCTTTATATACTGCAGCACCAAATCACAACAACATTCACCCCGAGGTGCTTTATATTGTAAGGTAAATACACTACGATAATGCAACAATAACCAGAAGAAGTGGAAATGTGTGATGTTTTTAAAATAAGTCTACTGGGTTCACTCATCTAACCTAGACACATGTAAAATGAAGTAAGCAATGTAAACCCTTCGCTTGTACATGCATTGCTTCGCTTCACTCCTGTGCATCTTTTGACTAATACAACAGGTCTGCAAATGTGTATCAGTGCCTATTCTGTCCTCCAGCCATTTGTAGGCGCTATTTGGAAAAAAAGGCAGAGCCAAAATCGTTTACGCATGCGCATATGGTCTGTTTTTAAACTTGAGGAGTGAGGCGGTAGACATTAACAACATTTGAAATTAATTGAATTCATTACTTTTGTCCACAATAAATCGTTTCTCTGATGGATTTAGACGGTGGGACGTACGAGCCGGGATTTGTTGGCATACGGTTTTGTCAAGAATGGTGAGCGTTTGTCTGTTTTAGAGGACGTATACGTTGACGTAGCCGGCTAGCTAAAATAAGCTAGACGCACATTAACATAATATTGTATGAACTGAAGGAATACGTACGCATAATTGAAATGGAAACCCATTAACCACTTGGCTTTGTCTTCCAGTAACAACATGTTGTATCCTAAAGAAGACAAGGAGAACCGCATCCTGCTGTATGCCGTAAGTTTGTGCTCCTCACGTGTGTGTGTTAACCAATAAGTATTAGTGCTACTTTATTTTAAGTTAGCTAATCCACGATACAGCAACACTCTTCTAACAGATTATAAAACGAATGGTTAAAATTACAGCTTTAGTTTTAATTTTTCTTAGTTTGCTTATTTTACACCCCTTATGTTACAATCGGTAAATACAATCAGTTTATAGCACATTAAAAACTAGTTGACCAAAGTGCTGTAGACGCTATACAATGAATATGTGTGTGTGTGTGTGTGTGTGTGTGTGTGTGTGTGTGTGTGTGTGTAAAAGCATCACTCACTTAGAGATGAAAGGGAAAGGAACCTTTCTGTCATGGTCAATAGTAGTGAGTGGAAAGATGTATGAAAATATGCTTCATCAGTTTGTTTGTAATCATCCCAAACCAATGCAATTACAGATTTTACACAGAATAATCTCAACCATGGACATAGTTTCAACCCCAGTCTTTTGCTTGAAATGCAAGGCAGAAATTAGTACCCTAACTCATTGTGTTTGGTGTTGTCATAAGCTGCAGACGTACTGGTCTAGTGTATGATTAGAAGTGAAAAATACATCGAGGCTGAAAACAGAATATCTTATGTTCATATCACGTTCAAAAGTCCAATGCTTTGTAAAACTTTGGAACCCTGTTTGATCTACTTGAAAACTGATGTCTACGATCTTGGTGTTGGGATTTTTTTTCTAAAGGTTGTGATAATGCTGGGCTGATTATTGCATATTATTGTTGCAGTTGCTAGTGTTTTATGTGAGACTAAACTAAATTAAATAATTTGATATATTACAAAATATAAGAAATAGCTCTAATATATACAAATAGCTTAATTATAAAAATCCAGAATATTACAGAATACAGAATTACCAAATTTTAAATGCTGCAAAACAGCTGTAAAACTTTATTATTTTCACTGTAGAGGATGTAACTATTGCACGGTGTACTGTACATTAGTTGGAGGAGTTGTACAGGCAGGAGTGATTTCCTCTAGGGCTGGGTATCGTCACTGATTTCTAGAATCGATTCGATTCCGATTCACAAGGTCCCAATTCGATTCAATTTGATTCGATTCAATTTAAATCTGGGAAATTTCATGGTTGTAAACCATAATTCAGATCAGTACATTTACATATTTTTGTATCTATAAAAAGGAAACTGACACTCGCAAGACTTTATCAAAGGTGTGAGCATCACAGCAGAGGCCTTTGTGTCAAAGTAGCTGAAGATAAAACACAGAAAAACATGAAGGTGATTTTCCTGGCCTGGGATTTTATAAAAATATTCTGCAGTACATCAAAAACGAAAGAAAACCATTAATCAACTTATGAACATTACCTCTGAAGTTACAGCGGTTTTATTACAGACACAGCTGAGCGTTTTGCATTTTGCATAATTTTAAAAAGTTTGCATTTGTTTAGAAGCCTATTGAACAGCAGAAATTAGGTTTTCTTTTCGGACGTAAGTAAAAGGGAAAAAAACAGCGGCCGACAGCGCTGTAAACAACGGTAGACTTGTGCGTAACAAGCAAGCGAATAATTCAGAAAACAGATTTTTAGACGGGAAACTGTTCTTGAAGTACGGAGAGAAAGCGAGAGAGAGCTGTGCATGAAGTGTGGTGGAAGCAAAAACAGCAAAAGTCAGAGGGAATTCATGACGATGTATATGTGAAGCGAAATGTGAAGCGTAGTTTGGATCTTCTTTTGCTGCTGGTTCAGTCAATAATGTTTGGAGAGAGATAAAACTAACAGCTTTAGGATCAGCGCAAAAAGGGCGTAAACACAAAGCGCGGACCCGCCGAAGCATCAGAATCAGCGAGCTGTCGGCTTTCAGCTCGTGTCCGTGCCGTCGGGTGAGAAAGGCGACATCTCACTGATTCTGATCCGTCGGCGGGTCCGCGCTTTGTGTTTACATCTTTGTGCAGAATCCGTGTTCCTGCTCTCAGTTACTGTTTTAGCTGTTTGGTGGTTGTTGAAATTTAGTGAGGTTTAACCTGAGATTCTGGTGTTTCGGGCAAAATAAATTAATATTAAAAAAATCGATTCAGGATTTTAATGAATCGATATCACGTTATCCAAGCTAGAATCGATTTTAATCGATAAATCGATTATCAAAACCCACCCCTAATTTCCTCTGTTGTTCAGTGGTGCATTTGGGTAATCTCAGTCTCTAACTAAACATTCTCCTGTTACTGGCCATGTCATGGAGTGGGTGCCAGGTATTGTTCAGCACTGGGAAACAGTAAATATAATTGGGTTGAAA